TCTCTAAATTTTACCCTCGGGTGGCTCACCAAAGGGTGAGTCAACTTGGAATGACCACTTCCTTCTCTAAATTTTACCCCTGCCTTGCCCACAAAAGGGTGAGTCAAGTTGAAATGGCAACATCCTTCTCTAAATTTTACCCTCGGGTGGCTCACCAAAGGGTGAGTCAACTTGGAAGAGCAACATCCTTCTCTAACTTTTACCCCTGCCAACAAAAGGGTGAGTCAAGTTGAAATGGCAACATCCTTCTCTAAATTTTACCCCTGCCCACAAAAGGGTGAGTCAAGTTGAAATGGCAACATCCTTCTTTAAATTTTACCCTCGGGTGGCTCACCAAAGGGTGAGTCAACTTGGAATGACCACTTCCTTCTCTAAATTTTACCCCTGCCTTGCCCACAAAAGGGTGAGTCAAGTTGAAATGGCAACACCCTTCTCTAAATTTTACCCTCGGGTGGCTCACCAAAGGGTGAGTCAACTTGGAAGAGCAACATCCTTCTCTAAATTTTACCCCTGCCCACAAAAGGGTGAGTCAAGTTGAAATGGCAACATCCTTCTCTAAATTTTACCCTCGGGTGGCTCACCAAGGGGTGAGTCAACTTGGAATGACCACTTCCTTCTCTAAACTTGACCCCTGCCTTGCCCACAAAAGGGTGAGTCAAGTTGAAATGGCAACATCCTTCTCTAAATTTTACCCTCGGGTGGCTCACCAAAGGGTGAGTCAACTTGGAAGACCCTCTCACGATGTAAGTGCGCGAGCAACGACGAGCATACCTTTTTATGCCACGCAGTGCAATATTGGGCAGAAAAAGTCTGGAGCCAAATGATTACTAGAACTCCCCGACGATTACATTCGGTAACGCCCCGACGCTTACATTCGATACTAAAGGCCCCCGACAATTAAATTCTGTACTAAAACTCCCCGACGATTACATTCGGTACTAAAGCCCCCCCGACAATTACGTTTTGTACTAAAACCTCCCGACAATTACTTTCTGTACTAAAACCTCCCGACAATTACTTTCTGTACTCAAACCTCCCGACAATTACTTGCTGTACTAAAACCTCTCGAAAATTACTTTCTGTACTAAAACCTCCCGACAATTACATTCTGTACTAAAGCCTCCCGACAAATACATTCTGCACTAAACCCTCCTGACAATTACATTCTGCACTAGGACCCCCCCAACGTGACCTCTTCCCACAGTGCCGCATAAAAAAAAGAACCCTTAGCATAAAAAAAGAAACAATTAGCATAAAAAAGAAACCAGGAGCATAAAAGAAAGAACTGCAAGCATAACAGAAAAAACCATTAGCAAAAAAAAAAGCACTATAAGCATAAAAAAAGAAACCCATACCCCAAAAGCACACCAACCCCGCTGTGAGCATAAGAAAAAACAATTAGCATTAAAAAACAACACCCAGCCCGTAAATCATGGTTAGTAAATGAACGTAAATGATCGTTTCCAAAAAAACAATGGTGATCATCATCTGACTGACGGTTACTCACAAATTATGGCACTCCCAAGTTTTTTGCTGCGATCGAAATGCATCCGCAACTCTGCAACTCTGAGACCTTCCATCTTTACATCACTCCAACATCGCCAGAGCTCCAATGGCAAAGCGAAGAAACAGCGCTCAATTCGACTTGTATAGACCCTCAAAAATAAACCGAAACAAAGGCCGAATTCGGTTGACTACCCCACAAAAGCCTGACTAAATCTTGCTTGACTCCCCCCCCTCAGAAGGAAACCAAACCTTCGGAAGTCAGTAAGAACCATCATGATCTCAGCCACATCGTCAAGATGCCCGGAAGTCCTATAGGTCCCAGGATCCACCCAACAGTCGTCGACGAGGGCCATCCCCGCGGCGGCACCAAATCCAGCCCCTGAGACCCCCAACAGTAGACGTCGTAGAGCGTCCCTCGCTCCAACTCCGCCAGGCTCGCGTCGTTCTGCGTTCGCGTTCCGATGTGGCAGAGGAAAACCATACATTCAAAGACGTGGATGTCGCGTTCCAACGCCAGCGAAAGACGTGGGCCGGTTCAATTTTGGAGGTGATTCACCAATCGTTAGCATCTGGATGGCTGACGCTGAAATCACCGGCAGGTGGTTCAATGTATGAGCTTGCAAGCTGGTCGTCTGACGTGGATTTGAGTCAGTTGGGCACGGTTGTATGTGGTGGAGAGCAGTTTAGACAAAGGACAAACACGTAGAAAGTTCAAGTGGTGATAAGAAAATCAAATGACTTCCAATCACGGTCTAGTAGAGAGAACCTTCAACTGATCGTTTGATTTTGTATTGCATGTTGATGCATTTTGGGTGTCTGATAGGTTCCAGGCAATATCAACAAGGAATCAACAACACCATGCATATACAACGACAACATCTTTAATGGCATCAACATACCCAACATCCAAAAAAACTCAAGGCACTCCATGAAACTAGAAATGAGTGCTGGACAACATCCTGTATCTAAGAACATAGCTTAAAACGGCTCGGCATCTGATCAGTTTTGCAGGTTTTCAGGTTTCGTCCTATCCCACTTGTCACTGTGTGACTACAATTGAGTCTTCGCAGTTTACACTCCAACTCAAAATCAGCTCTAAGAGAAACATCGAGCGAGAAAACAAAACAAAGCTCTCACGTCACAGACAGAACACCTGGATGTCCGTTCACACCTCCAAGCGAGAGAGGTCGATGGTCGCCGAGGTGAAGGTATCTCCCAACTGGTCCGCATAGTAGTCGGCCTGGCACCAGGGAGACCACCGGGAGGCCGTGGAGAGGTCTGGCACGTTGAGACACCTCAGAAGGCCTGGCAGGTCATTGACCCGTTTGGGCGACACCCGGACCTTATCGTTTCGGTCGGACGGATTGGGGTGGGTGATACCTTAGGAGCAAGGAAAGACATCTTCCATTGGCGATCCAAAGAAGTCTGGTGACGGTTAGGGTGGGTGCCAGGAGGATATCTTTCACCACCTTCTGAGGATACGGTTGGGGCCTTATAGGGAAATCTTTCATCATTCATCTGAACTGAACAAAAGAGAATATCTTCAGACTCAAGATCGGATTGGTACTGCCGGCATATTTGGAATTCTGGTTCGCTTGTAGTGAATGGAACTGTTCCCAATAGAACCATCAGTAACTGAATGGCATGGATGTTTACAATCAACAAAATCATTGACAAAGCAAACTGCCAATAGAAAAGTCCTCTACTTCTCCATAGCTTCTGTAGCCTCCTTTTTCCTTATAAGCCATCCATCTTCCTTCATCGTTTTCAACCCCCCCAAACTTGGGGTTTCCTTTGGATCAGGGCTCCAGGGCCGCCGCTGGAGCCCTGGGCCGTTGCCGGCCATTCGTGGAGCCCGGCCCGGGCGCCTTCAAGATGCGGTTGATGCTCAAGCTGGACTCCCCGGAGTCGCTCCGGGTCACGCGGCAGTAGGAGCGACAGGCCTCGCGTGGCGAGACACGCGAGACACGCGGAAGATCGTCGCATGACGTGTGCGTCACACGGTCATGGCTGGCCGTTGTTGGGCGTGTGAAAAAACAAAGGGATTCCAGGTGCAGTGAGGTCCTTTTGGACATCATTAGTGGGGTCAGGTTGGTACCAAGACCCATTGATTGTTCACTACTTTGTTCCGTATCCACTCTATTAATCAATCAACCACAAGTTAAAAGGCGTCACCATCTATGTTGCGGTCTCACCGCGGTCGGTTTAAGGGAGAAAAATTGAGAAAAGCTGCTCGGATGGACAGGATGTCCTCCTTATTTTCTTATTTTCTTTATATATATATGGTATCTGCAAACCTATATTTCAACAAAAGGATTCAACAAGTAGTATGGTCGTCAATCATCACCTAACCCCCTGTACTCCAAATGTACTTCCGGAAGGGCTGTGGGGCGCGACAGACTGTTCACAAGTTGGCTTTGGATCCATTACTTTTAATACTCCATAGGGATCCACATGCCTTCTCAGAAGGTACTTGGGCTCTCCTGGCACCTACATAAGAGTATCTTATAATCACCTTCTGAGAAGGTACGACTGGATCCCTATAGAGATCTGTCTGTCTTGTCAAACTACCCCCGGGCGCGGCTCTCCTTTTTTCCTGCACAGCGATCTGCGCGTCACGCGCGATCTGCGATCGGGCGATGAAAGCGCGGGCGATACGCGCTCGGCAGGGAATCGCGTCAGGGTCGAGATTCCGAAGTCAGAATGGACAATATCAAAACCGAAAATTATTTTGGAACAAATATATACTATATTCAGAAAATCCATGTCTAAATAGTATAAACAACTATTCAGAAAGTCTCATGTTATACTGGCCTCAAGTTCACCAATTTCATAGTGGACATGTTGATCAATGACCCCAAAATCAGGGAACGCAATCTAGTCTAGTATTTGGGGTCCTGTGCAGTCCTTCCTGAATAAGGAGTCCCAAACTCAAGAACATATATCTCCCCAGGGGTCTCCAGGTCAGTTGTTCCCACCAAAAATGAACAGAATCAACGACCATAGACTAAGACATGGTCGACCTAGCAGGGTTTGTTTGGGGCTGAAAAGGTTTTGACTCAGTTTGGGGCTTCCGTTCTGAACGGCCCTGCCATTCAACCCTGACCCGAACCGTCTTTATGGACGGATCGTAGTTGATGCAGCCATGCCAAAGTGCAGTCGTAGGACATGTCCTGCAGTGGAAACAAAGGATTGGCCCGGTGCAGTTGCGAAAAAGGCGTGGCTGGATTTTTGCAGTAGCAGTGGGCGAGCAATCGAACCACCCCAAGTCTTTTGAGTCTTGAGGTTAGTAAAACTCATGATTTGGGGTAGGATATAATTAGCATTGATACGTATTCGGATATGCCAATGATGGGTAGCTTCTAATTGGCCAGTCAGTGGGGATTTAATGACCATTGTCCTTCTCAAGACACACTAAATACCCATCGACACACCTGCAAGTTAAGGATACACCTGCTATACAGGTCGTGCCACGCTCCAGGTCTATCAGTAAACCATTGTTGGTTTCTGCTACAGATACATGCAATTAAACATGTCAAATCCACTCCAGCCATCTCCAGCCCAAACCCAAGGTCCATGATCCAAACCTCCATTAAATCATTCTCCCCCTCCCTCCCTCGTCCCGTGAAACCCACTCCCCCCATTCCGCCGCGCCGTGCTCCCGCCAAAGCGCCGAAAGGTCGCAGTAGACGATCTCGAAGGTGTGGCGCCCACCAGGGATTTCCAGCAGCTGATCGCAGCTTCGCAGTCCCACGCCGCCTGCAGCGGTGGATGGCGCTGAGTTCGGCGCGGACACTCTTCTTTCTCTGGCATTTGTATGACACCTGCTCTTGGAACCCCACCACTGCTTGCAAACGTTCGGTCAAATCACGTGTCAAAGAACTCTCTGTTGTGCGCTTTGTAACATAATATGCGTGATCTTCATGATTTCCATATGATATATCAATGTTTGGAATCTCCGGGTGGTGGCTGTGGGTCTGCAGGAGTGCCACAAACTGATTGTTGTCTTCCCGCCCAAGTACGTAGAAACATAGAAACCAAGCATGACAAAAAGAAACATGTTAGTGGCATCATGCACCTAGAAAAGCACAATAATTATTCGCGCTAACATGGAACTTAGTCAGATTGATCTCAGCAATCTCCATGTTAGTGCTGACAACTTGTGATTGGGAGGCATTTCCATCCAGTTCCATGTTAGTTTTGGTGCCTTTTTCACTTTCCCTCCAGGAAGCCAGTGCAGAAGTTCCTTCCGTGGCCCAGTCATTCGACTTACAACCCCAAAGTGCAAAACCCCAACAATGGTAAGAGGTTGGGTGTGTCCCATTCCCTGTAACAGTGGATGTTTGTCATTGGTCAGTACAGGCCTTTCTCAAACACATAGTGACAATCTTGCATTGACCGTTGCAGGTCAGGGGACACACATGGGAGGTTGCAAGCGTCAATCACATGATGTCAAGATGGACCTTGAATAGATGCCTGTATGACGGTCTATGACGGTCTATGCATGCATCACCCAGAAAACGGCCAGCCACTCGGCAAGCCAAATACCTGCAAGAGCTTTTTGATCAACAAAACGCCTCTGTTCTCCCATGTTGAAAGAAGTAGCGACTGGGTTTCATCCCTGAGAGGACATCAACAACACCAAACACTTCCCATCATTTCATGACACCAAACACTGCAGGAGTGCTTGTCTGCGTCACCGGTCACCACCCCCAAAGGTCGAAGGGAACACGTCGGTCACCGGTGAACCGACCTTTGAAGTTCAACGGCCGCGTTTCGCTGCACGTTTCGCTGCACGTTTCGCATCGTGCGTCTTGCTGCGCACGTTTGCAGCTAGAAGCTGCGCACGAAATCTAACAAGCTCCCAGAATGCTCCCACAGGTCCGTTTTGTTCAATGCTGGTCTGGTCACTCTGATTGTACAGAATGTGTTCCTTCTTCCAGAAGAAAGCCCTCGAATTTGAAGCTGTTTGGTTCGAAGGTTCCGGAGGTCACTTCCAGCAAGATGCTTTTTGCCAGGAAATTGCAATTGCATGGGAGAAGTGCTGTCTCCTCAATATAGCCATGCTCCTCAGAACGGAACACCACTTGCATATCCCCTGAGCCGCCCTTCTTGAAGCAAGATATGGAGAAGTGAGTACCTTCATCTATATCACTTCGAAAGTACATAGCCTGTAGCTTGACTGCAAAGCCAGGAAACCTCCATGCCACCCAGTGCCCTGCGTCAAGTTTTACCTCGCAGCAGTTGCTTTGAACTGCTAAATTGATTTGGACCTCATGTGGGATGTTGACACGGTCTTGGACAACCACATTCACCCAGTCTGATAGGAAAACGTCTTCCCAGCAGTGTTCTCCATGTAGATTCCGACAGCAGCTTCCGAGATGACCAAGCACGTCAAACACATATTCACCGCGAATGGTCTTCGGTCTGACAGACTTCAGGAATTGCAGCTCAGGCGTCAACAGCATCGTCTTGATCTTTTCACCTGAAACATTCTCTAAGCAAACATACTTCTCAATGAGATCTCTCTTGCTAATGTGACCTTCATCAGCTTCCTTCCACTCCATCAGGAGATCCAGCAACTCTTCATCGGAAAGGCACAGGAAGTCGGAACCAAGCACTTCGTGCACAAGTTCGTCACTCACCGCCGGGCGTTCCTGCAAAGCCCTCTTCGGACACATGAGCACGGCATTGAAGGCCGCCTCCCGAAGGGCATCAAGTCGAAAGCTGTCTGCAGCAATGAAGATATCCCAAGCATTTGATGACAGCTGAATGTGTAGGAGATCATTGCCTTGGCTTATTGTACCAGGTTGTCAGTGAATCTTTGCATTACAGCCCCCGACCCAACAAGAAACTGAAACAAATCAAAACACAAAACCTGTTAAACGTCTTCAAGTAAACCAGTGCAACATATTGCCACTAATTCATCAATGTGTGTAATTGCTGGGATGCATTTCCTCTGAAGAACTGCAAATGCAAAACAAGCATATCTGTAATGAAGACTAATAACTAGGGAACCTGCATTCACCACCACCGTTTTGGGCCATCAAATCTCTCCAGCAAAGTGGACCAACCATTCCGAAGTCACAGTGGCGGGAGAGCTCTGGCACTTGGTACTTGTCAGCAATCACCATCACTTCCACGAGTGTTTGAACGTCCACATTCAAAGTCCCTGAGTAAAGGAAACGCAAAAAGACCTCCATCGCATGTGATGAGAAGTCTTTAATGACCTTAGTTCTGCTCCATCATGGCGGATCCTCCCAAATCTACTAAACATCAAACGAAGGCCATGTGGCATGTGACTTTCAGTGCCGAGCAAAATTATTGACATGTCCCATTGCTGTCTGTGTTCCACCGCACAGACAAGGGATGACAAGGGTAGCCTTGCACTTAGGCACGAAAGATTTCTTTCTTGACCATTCTAGTCGATGCCAGTCCCCATCAATCCTCAACGCTCCCAGCTGCGGGGAATTCTGTGACCACGCCGAGTTTCCTTCAAAAGGGTATAGGTTGACCATTAACCACGTGTTCATGGGCTGAGCAACCAACAAATCGCTCTAAGAGGACCTTTTTTTGGGTAGGACTTCCTGGTGCATCGCTGTCCAAGTAGCAACTTGTCCCTGTGTCTGCTCCTCAAACTCATGAAGCATCATCTTCTCAAAGACTTCAGACCAAGAAGACAAAATAACTGAGGACACCTCGAGTGGCAAAGCAGCTCCGCAAAGCAGCTGAGACAGAAACAACACCAGGAAAAGCCAACAGTTCCTTCAATCACCGAGGTTTACCATGATTTTTGTTTGAAACCTCGCTGCGAAACGGGGCCCACAACAAGCAGGTTGAGTAGAAACGTAGGACTTGGACGTTGCAGGCGAAGCCGCAAGATTCCACTGGTCCATCTAGAAATCCTACGCACGTCCAGTCTGACCCAGGTCCCAAGCTGGTCAAACTTACCTCCTTAAGGTCCTTAAGTCATGTTTGTTTTTTAATGAGCACGTCCAGTATAATGAGGTCAAGCTGACCTGCAATTAGGAAAACTCTCCGACCTTGAACTCCGTCCGCGTCTTCTCCGAAGCTTTCTCCACCACCACTCTGAAGCTGCCCATCTTTCCAAAGGCGGTGGAAAGCTTCTCTGCGACCTTGGATGGGCTGAGAGAATACCAAGCAAGATCAATTATAACACTGGATACTCTCCCTGGAATTAACATGGAAGTGGAAAACCATGTTAGTTCCAGGGAGTGTACGCCTTTTAGGAGTCCCAAAATGAGCCCCGCTGAAACAGGCCAACGAAACCCATTCCCTCTTCGTGCAATCTGTGACCATGGCGCCACTGTATTGCACCGATCCGCCACAACGACGAAGAGTGGGGCGCCACGGGTGCTGGAGCAAAAAAAAAATGGCCCACAAATCAACCAGCAGAATTGTACGTAGCGGCACAGGGAATAAATAAACAGCTGGCCAGGTCACCAACATGTGTTTGCTCCGGTGAGTACAAATGCAATGACCCTAGGATGCCAGAAATACGTCTCAACTCCCAGAGACGGTCACTGCGCAGGTGTTTTCAAGACATGTCCAGGAAACACTGAAGTTCCATATTCATGTGGAGAAGACGAGAAGACGCGGATGGAGTTCAAGGTCAGAGATTTTCACTACAGGTCAATGACCTCATTCTACTGGATGTGGTCATACAAAAATACTACTTAAGGAGGTAAACACCAGGTTTTACTGGGTCAAACTGGACTTGTAGGGGGTATAATGCAAGAACTAAATACCGACTTCTGCAAGCAGTTCAGGATTCATCCCTCTACTTTCTTTGAAAGTCCCCTATCGGTTGTATCATATGCATTTGGTCAAGATACACTCGAGGATCAAAAGAAGAACAAGAGAGGATCAACATATATAGATCACTCGAGTCCGGGACAAACAACAAACACCCGCGTCACGAACTGGCAAAGCTTGACACCTTGCGTCCAAAAATAACTGTGCTTTACACATGACACACGGCATTCTCCATTTACTCGTCCTTCACGAAGGTAGGGAAACTTCCGACAGCAGAACACCATTTAAGAGAATCTAACGCCAGGATCAGAATCCCCTCCTCCAGATTGGTATGGGAATCAAGATTAACTTCTTTTGATGGAAATCCTCGACCTGGAAACTTCTTCCCATCTATCTTCTCGCCTTCCTCACTGAGCTCTGCCAGCGTCTTCAGGAACTCTCGGCTATGCTCCACAGGCACCACTCCATCCCTCTCCCCATGCACCACCAGGGTCGGAGGCCTTGGACGAAACGCTCGACAATACCCCGCTGAAGACGATCCCATGGACCCTGAAAGCCACTGGTTGGCATAGGAAAACAGTCTGTAAAGGGTCCCATTCCCAACATCCGGTGGATTCCAAGCAGTCATGTCACCACATCTCATTGCTTTCTTCGTTGCTTCCCAGAAACTCAGTAGAAGTCATGTATTGTATCATTCCATGAAAACAAAAAAAACGTAGCCCTTGGTTCTGCTGAAGTCATCAAAGCCTGAAGGACTTCTGGAGACAAATCTTCTGCAGTTGCCACCATTCATGTTTGGATGAATTCTCTTCAAGAGGAAAATCACCTCAAACAAGACCCATAAACCATCCACCAATGCTGCAAGCAAACATCCAACCTCCTACAACAAAAAAAACAAAAAACACATCCTCCAACATCTTCCACAACACAACACAAAGCCACGTTGACTTCCAAACACCACGTAGTTCGGTATCTTTTAATGTCTAAATGGTTTCAGTTCCACAATACCAAGCGTCCATGCCGCGGCTTGCTCCTTCCGCAGCTCCTGGAGCTGCTTCAGAGGCTCGGCGGAGCTCCAGCAGTGGCGTTGGGATTTCAAGACGAAGAACTCGAAGAACCATTCCTGGGCGAAGCTTCGGGCGTCCTTCGGTGAGGGAACATCTGACCGTCAGCGGTGGAACAAACCCGGGAAGGAGGCCGGATGATTGATTGCCACCAGAAAAAATGAAGCGGATTTGAAAGACCTGAACGAACTGGAGGAGATTTGAGATATATTCAAGTCATGAGATACACCATACAGTACTGACTCCAGTAGCAACAAATGAGTGGAAAATGGGTTCCCGTATCCTCCATTAAGCCGCCCTGACTAAAACTGCCGAGCATCCAGCGCGCTCATCTGGTATCGCACGCCCAAAAGAGAGCAAGAAAAGGGCAAACGGACCTGGGCGAGATCATGCAGAGTTTTTCTTTCCTGAAGGCAAACGCCCACTTTTTCCGTGAAGGGGGTTGAAGGGGGTTGAGCCATCATGGACAACTTGACAGCTTGTTCCTTTCCAGCAAATCCTAGCACAAAAAACCTGTAGGCCGGTAAAGGGGTTTGTGCCTAAAACGCAAAACCCGGAGTCCATCCCATGGATCTTCCAACAGTGCAAGGTTCGGAATGCCTGCGGAACTTGGCTCATTTCATAGATGAAACATGATGAAACACAAACGAAAAGGCAAACATGTTGCATCAACCAGATCCGAGCCTCTCAACGACTTCACCTGGGCCGAGAACGAGTTCACCTCCATGGGACCCTCACCTTCACCAAACGGAGGCGCCGTGGAGCGGCAGCGGTCCGCCGGGTCCAGCGCCGGATAGAAGAGCAGCGCCGCGCGGAAGGTCCTCGTGCGGACCGAAGCGAGCGGATACGCCAAGCAGATAGCGCCAAGAGTCCTGGGACTCGTTTTCTATATTTTCTAATAAATGTATGTATATATAGTATATATATAGGGGCAAACAGAAACATTCAAAAATTTGTGTTTATTGTTTGTTCCACTCTTGTGTTGTGACATACATCGTGAACAGGCATCAACCGTAGTGGTCCTGGATCTTTCAACGGTAGTGGTCCAAAATTGTCGAGCTTTGGCTGGTTTTATAGATCAAAAAACATATTTTCTTGTACACCCTAGGGCTCCAGTCGCACCTCCTCAAACGTTATGACTGGACCCTTTGAATAGTGACCTTCACCAGAACTCAGAATAATATATAGGATCTGGATGGATCTGGAGCAAAGTCAAGCACGCATCTTGGACGTTCTCTCCTTTCGCAGTCCCACATGCCATCTTGGCAAACACACGCATGAGAGCCTCAGCATCCTCAGCTCTCAATCTTCCTTCAAGTTGAAATCTTCTCCCTTCAAGGAGAAAGTGCAAAAAGCCCCACTGGTCGTCCCTTTAAATTTGTGCATCTAGTTCAACCCGACAGAATGGCAGGACAGTGCAACGTTCAGGAAGTTGCAACATGTTCTCCACCCAACTCCGCCCAGCGGTGGATGGATAAAAAAGACCTGCACCAGGAGGGAACGAGAAACCCCGCAAGTATCTGCAGTGGATTGAGCATCGATCTGGTCTGATTGTTACAGGGATTGGGACACCCAAACAGGTCTCAACTAGATCCCTCAAACGCTTTCACATGCATTTGGCGCAGGTGGATGCACTGGGACGGCCCAAAGGCATACGCCCGGCCTGGCCGGCCTGAGCGGACCACTCTTGCGTGATGAAAAGCACCGGAGTTCTCTGACTTTCGAGTGCACTGGGTCGGAGTTCTCTAGGTGTCAGTGATGGTTCATCTGGCAAGACAGTTGGTCCAAGCAAAACAGAAAAAAAGCATCGGACCATCCAGTCTTTCCAAACATCTCCAATACAGAATGATCAAAAAGATCATTCCCAGACGCTCATGGACCCTCCTAAGTAGGGGCCGGACCCTCAAATCCCCAGGGTTTTGAGGGACCAAGAGCTGTTTGGAGCGTCTGGGCTAGAACTTTGAACGCACTTGGAGAAACAGGGAAGCTTGGCAGTCCGCAAATGTTCAACCCGTACGTCTCATGCGGCACCCGCCCCAAATCTCTCACTGGAGTCTACGAAGAGCCAACGCCTCCGGAGGAGTGTCTGTGTCAAACATCACCAACTGGCTGCAGTGGTTCAAAACAAGACTCAGTAAGCGGCAGGGTTTGGCATTCTATGTTCTTGCGTTTTTTCAGGGATACCCTCAGCGGTTTGTCTGAAGTCCAGTGATTGTTTTGGTCCGATGGTTCTGGATTTCAGTTTCTCGATCGCAACCCATCACCCAATGGAAGAATTCGACCAACCAAGTTCTTGCATAATTACCTGAGGTAACTGTTACTGAACAAAACACCTGCGCCAACCGATTTGTTCCCTGAAACATTGACACAAAATATGACTCATTTAATTGAGGGCACCAGTGTAGTAAGCCTGTACATAAAATAAACATATATAAACAGTGTCGGCAGAGGCGGCACCTTGAGCTGCGTCACGTGGGTGTTCTAGATGTTCCAGCGAAGCGGCAAACCTTAGATGTGCCCAGCACCAGGAGTCACCCACTGACGGATGCGTGCCCAAGCAATAAACCCTAACTGGCTTGGGCATGCTTGGGCAAGGACGAGGACATCGTGACCTTTGACCAGGTTGGTGATAATTTCAGTGAGCGTAGTACTCTGGCCAAGAGACTCAGCATCAAGCCGTCCCTTGATCAACAAACGGACGTAGGGGTCCTCAGCGGCCATATATTGAAGCACTCTATGGCGTTCGGCATCCTCAGTTGTGCACCAATTCAACATGTACCTGGAATGCTGTCTACCTGAAAGCACAGCTGCAGTACTTGTGATCAACTCAAAGTCATGCAAGTCAGTAAGATTCTGAGACTCTGGCGTTTGGGCGCTGAAATATCACATCGAGTGTGAGTTTGCACGTGTCCCGCACATGTTTGGTCGGGCGATGCCGCTGGACTGGTTTTGTGGGTTCATGGTGGCAAAAGCAGCAAGCGGGGTGATGTGCAACCATAGCTGCTCGCAAAATAGACACAAGGATTGCACTTGGCATTGTGCCTGTGGACTGCTATGATCTGATCATCTGGAGTTGCATGCCTAGGAGTTGCGGTTGGATCTGGACAAGAACACAAAGCACTGCATGTGTATACCGGAACTGCTTGTCACAAGCACTCTTCACACATCTCACTGAGTGTTGAGAGAACTGGGGCGCCATGCCACAAAACTTGACAAATCAGATTAACTCGCCAAGGTTGCCCCTCTTCCGTCTGCTGCGCTTTCTTGTTCACGACATTGTCGGCAAGGTTCGGGGCCTGTTTGGCCTCTGCGATTGCTGAAACGCTCGTGCCTTTCAAAGGAGGCAGCTCTGAACACGGCTTGTCACCAGGACACCAAGAGATGCCACGGGAGAAACTCTCCTGGATTGCCGGAAACATCGGCAGGACATGTAAGAACAAATCCCAAAGGGTCTCTTCGATTCATTTATGTCAACTGCCTTCCTTCTTTAAAGCCAAATGGCTGGCTGTAGCATGTCTTTTACGTATTGCACGCACACGTCTCAGCAAATCTATTACCCTAGGGCTCCAGTCGGACCTTCTTAGAAGGTGAGACTGGGGTGGGCTTAGAGGGTCCAAATACCTTCTAAGGAGGTACGACTGGAGCGCTAGGGTTAATGAACATTTTCCCGTTTCTCCGATCCCGCCCTCTTTCTTCGATCCAACATGTTCCACCCGTGGTCCTGAGGCTCACGGAACTCGAGAAAAGTGTTCTTGAGCTGAATCTCTAGTTGGCGGGCCATGGCACAAACGGATCACTCCGGGCAAAATACAAGAACTTCCGGCTTCAAAAAGCACAGGAGGCTGCGCATGGCATGCACAGTTCACATCACATGCCATCCTGATCATCCTGATCATCCTGATCTTGTCAATGACCCAACATGCACAGCCGAACCACCCGAACCACCCAAACCGTGGGCACTTGGCACCCGCCGTCCGGTGCCCCAAGGTGCTCACGTGCCCACTCAGCTGGGCTGTAGGTCAGCCACAACGACTGGTGCGGAAGAAAAAAAGCGCACTCCCCATACATCCATGGGTACAACTATGGTACCAAATGTGAAGGGGGTGAAGCCAAAACACAGAATGGTCGTAGCAATATTGCAACGTATGAGGTGATTAGCTATGCAGTTAAATCTGAACACGGCTGGAAAGACCCCGTTTGCATTTAACTTATGACGACAAGACAGGCAAACACGCATGCACAAATTGCTGATCGTGAACGATGTAACTATTGCGGAAAGGGATCGACTGCAAAGGATTTTCTTTAGCCTTAGCATCCCATTCTTTCCAATTGAGTGACAGATGGCCGGAAAGTGATGTCTGCTTGCTGCGAACATTGTATGTGTGACACTGTGTGACCTAATTACTTGGAAGCTCGTTTGCTGCTTACCCGGAGGGTGGTTCCGAAGCTGGGCTAAGTCTAAGTCAAAGCTAACCACCCTCCGAGGTTTTGACCAATTCGCGTCGACCTCGGTCCACCAAAGGTCTCAGGTGTCCGGTCCCCGGCCACAGCCACCCGGCCACCCGGCCAAGGCCGTCCGTAGATGGGAAAAGCAAGAACGAGGAGGTCATCCGGATGGTGAGATCAAACCAAAAGACAGTGTAGCACAGTATGTAAACCTAATGTTTCCAATGGGTGTATGGTGTAAATATATACTAGTGACATGAACGAAAATTTTCAAACTCGGGTGGTGGCGTACTCTTGGCCGATTCTGGTAATCTTTTTTGGTTGCCAATATGCACCTACAAAAATACATTAAACCAATACCAAGAGTTGTGAACATCCTGCACAGACCAGTCTCACTGACTCATTGGATGGGCAAACTACTTCTCCAAGGGTGACGATGGTGCTACCCTCGGAGAACGGACGCCTGCCCTCCCTTCCCTTCAAACGGACCCGGACCCGTCGCGAACGCGGAACCACGACGCCCCTGACCGGTCCGCAGCGCTCCGGGATTGGTTCGCCTTGAGAAAACCCCTTTCAAAGGCCGAAAATCGGATTGCTGTCCAGGAACCTGGAACAAAATGCCATCTGAACAGTAGCAAGCTGAAGGGCATGAAGGCAGGATTTTTTTCCCCAGCGGAAAATACATACCATTCTGCGGAAAACATGCCAAACTATGCACCAGAAGGGGATGACCGACATGTTCGGGAAAATAAAAAACCATCACCTGATCTGCAAAACCAGGGTTACCACACACAGGCACTCCCAACCAGCACGTTCAAGTCTAGTTACTCTTTCTGACACGTCACCACTCTTATTCGGACACGTCAGGCGCCGACGTTGAGCGGAACGAACATCGGTTAACAGGTTCGTCAGTCAAACCGACCACTTCTGGTAGTTCCATCCACACGTATACAGCTACCAACCAATAGCCAGAAGTAAGGCTTGACCAACTTCTTCTGGAAGTAAGGCTACCAAGTATCCATACAGCTACCAACCAACTTCATAAATCTTAATATACATCTCCCCCTCGCCCCCCCCCACCACCTCAACGGCCCAGGCCACACTGGCAGCGGCAGCTGCTTCTTCACCGCCTCCGCCAGCAGCAGCGCCACCAGATGTCCGCCCGCCGAGGCGCCCGCGATGGTCAGGTCCTCCAGGTCGCCGTGGAACTGCGCCGCGCCTTCCTCAGAGCCGGAACGGCGTGCCAAGAAGCAGATCAAAACCGGATGAAAAACAAAGCAAATGGTCCTACCACGATGGGGTTTCACCCACGAACATATTTAAACACGACAATCACTATAGCAATTGCCAACGCACCCCACCGAGATGTGTGCGCTATAAACCACACTTTGGGTGGTGCTGGTAGATACCTTAGTGATTGCATGAGATACTTCTATAGGATCATCTGTTCTACCATGTTCTACCCCTTTTTGTGCCGTTTCAAACAGGGAGATGCACCAAGCGATGGCACCCAAGGCACTGGACACGTGACTATAGGGATCGTACGTCGTGCCGAACCTCGGCACCTGGACCCGACTGGCTGGCACCCACCCCAGTCCCACCTTCTGAGAAGGTACGACTGGATCCCTATATAACATACACTTCTTTTGTTCAAGACTAGGCCATATACTAGACCTGTGCATGGAACTCTTCCCAAAGCACTTTCCACGTCAAAGACCGGGTGAACCAACGTGATGAGTTGTCCAGCCCATGCCCACATGTACACACCGAGACCCTTAAAAACAGGGTGTATACATCAAGTCCGGCTCCCGACGGAGACGGCGTGTTGTCTTGTTTGTATTTTTCGCCGAACATCGAGCGACAGGCACGGGCAAATCAGCCGAAATTGCCAATATCGTTGGAGGGATAGAAATCGGTAGAAACCTCAACAGCAATACCTGGTTCTTCCATGGTCTTCCAATGATGCAAACACCGACATGCGGCTTCTTGTGGTGTTTTTGAGATGAAGAAAACAACATGTTATTGTTGGAAGATCCAGGTATCTCCAAACGAAGAAGTGATCTTGAATCACTTTACAAATCACTTGAAGCAATCCACTCTGGGATGTGCTTAAGACACCTTGGACAAATAAAAGACATCAGCTTAAAACCAGGCACTCGTTCAATCGCTCTTAGGCTGGAGGCCATCGCTACTAGGGTGGAGGCCATTACTGCTAGTAACAAGAAGCTACTAGGGTGGGGTGGAGGCCATCGCTACTCGTTCAATCCCTTTTTTGCACCCATTCTCGACGAGCCAAGTGACGCGCACCAGCCACATGAGCGCCGCGCGGCAGTCGTTCAGCTGAACAGGCCATTGAGCACCCCGCCGGCGACGGTATTCGCAAGAGACGATCAGGAAGCCTCGAGTCCAGACACTCCAAACGCTCAATGTACCAGGAAGCCTCGACACTGATCGACTGCATGTATTCAGGTTCTTTTTCTCTCGACTTGGCAGTCTCAAGAAAACTGTTAAGGGTAAACCAAGGGGATACACAAACTGACAGTTTCAAATATATATATATATATTCATATATTACACAAACTGACAGTTTCAGTTCTTACACAGCTACACCAATCCACTGCAGTATATCAAAACCACCAGAAACCCCACATGGCCCATCAAAAACCTTGTTTTCCCGAACGCACAAACACATGGTTGTTTGTATGTGAAAACCTCGACGGTTTTTCATGGTTGGCTTCGGGCTCCTCGTTTGGTTGGCATGTTTGGCTGTTCCTTGTGCACGTTGCGAAACCAAACGAGCTTGGTTGGTGGTATGACCCAGGGCACACGGCACTCGGTGACAAATGACCGATCACACCGTCCCATAAACCGGCTTCCCAACCAAGGAGACAGCCGCGACCATTACACCAGGAAAAAAACGCTTTTGGCATCGGGAAAAAACAAAAACGTTTCTGTTTATCTTTTTCCCCCACTAGGCAAACAAAAACATGGGTGATTTTGTATGTGAAAACCTGTCAGGGCCGGTCCAACACAACTCTGCTGCGCTCGCGAGCGAAACGGACTCTCTTGCGCTGGCGCCATGGCTCGCTCCGCGTGGCACCGGATGGGACCGATGGTCTACGGTCTACGGCGTGGTATGGATTCGCGTAGCGACCGGGCGAAGTATGTGGACTCTTGATTCTTAAACCCCCTTTGGAGTGTAGGGAGGGAGTGTACAATGGTATTGATTCGCTACTGTACGCTACTGCACACGCTACATTAGCTAATGTGGACTCTTTGGAGTGTAGGAGGAAGTGAACATTTAGAATCTAAGAGTCGTAGACTCTCCGACAAACGCCGCGCGACCGACCTCCGCGCCTTGCGCGGCCAGGGTCTGCCAGATGGGCGACTGCGGGCTGATCCGTGCCTCGCCGCCGCGCCAAGCGCCCCCGTGGAGGTTCAGCAGAATGGGCCGGAGAGGCTGAGAACGCGAAGGACTGGAAGCTCCTGGAGGAAGTTCTGGAGGACTGGGCATGAATTTTTGGGGTCTTAAGATTGAAGCACTGTCAGTGTAAGTGTGGATGGGGAATCAATATGTCCACTTTGTAGAGACACAATGATTGACGTAATATTTGTATTCTACGATCCAATTCCAGTGATATTTGTTTTTTAAATCTTGCTTTGTATACCAGGACCTTCAAAGTGACCTCTTTGGAGTCTGTAAGTGACCTCTTTATGGACTAAGTGACCTCAAACTGGGATCTCAAAAGGTCACTTTGAAGGTGCTGGTAGTTGAAGTTGAGAGATTGTACAACTGAATATAAATGTATCTACTGATGCTCAGGGCTTTTTTTGGTGCCCAACATGAATCTTGGAGTCAACGGAGGCAGACTACTAGTTAACCCGTCAAACCGCTGTTGTTGAATGTTTTTGAAATGGAAAACCATCGTTCATGATGAATTCAACAGAACACATGAACATGCATGCTACATTGTGTAACATCGTTTCACGTGAACAATCTATATAATATATATTGGTAAGGTGAAATGGTTCACACACGTTCACAGCTCTCACCACACACACACAAAACATGTTTTGTTGTGTAGATGATTGCTGTACCATCTTTGTCTGCTGGGAGAGTGGTGCTACATGAGCTTGGATACTCTCGACAGCAGGCAGAGCCGCTGATAAACCAATCAGGATTCTCAACAAGCCTGGTGCAAGCGTTGCTGGTGGCCAAACCCAACCTGCCTTGCCTAAAACCATCTACCTCCATATCCCCAAACTGGTTTATATCCAATTGTCACCGTTGTCACCCATGAACGTTGAAACAAATTGGTGCAATGTCCCCTCGTATATCCTTTTATGGTGATTGGAAAAGGATCTATCAGGTGCGCCAACAACCCCTGCTTCTCCAGAACCTGCACCTGACTGCTCCACACCAGACTGCTCCACCCCGAGCACCTGCGCCGTTCTTTCTGGCGAGACGGCCCGTCCCCAACTCCCCACGTACCACAGGCGTCGCCTGCTTCGCCCGTCCCCAACTCACCACGCCTCGTTGTTTCCGCGTTTTCCACCTGCCCTGCACACCTGCCCCCCCTCTCCCACCGGGGTCGCCTGCTTCGTACCACACATCGATGGGCGCCTCTAAGCCGGAAGGCCACAAGCGTTCGATGTGCACCTCACCGCCTCCGTGGCCTGGAACTCGACCTGGTCGGACGGACGGACGGACGGACGGACGGAGGTCGACGCGCCCCAAACGGCCGACCGTGTCGCGACAAGCCGCGTCGCCGGAGGTCTGGTTTCGTGGGTGTGTCGCTGTGGCTCCGATTGTTTCGCAAGAAAACACACAAAAGAGGTGAACAGAATGGAGGTGTTTTTGGAGGTTCTTGGGTTTTCACATACACGACAACAAGTTTGTTTGCTATGTAAAACCAGGTGTTTGATGCAAAACGTGCGGCCCCGCCCCTGGGATGGTCATTTTGGGGGAGGGTCAGATCCACTCCCAGGCAACGGACCAACGGATTGGGAAAAGTCCAAGTGGCGGAAAAACCAGTAGGCATAGGGATGCAGCCTCAGTTCAGTTGGAGTTTGGAAAGAAAGTAGATGGGTGGATTCCACACGTCAAAACCAAAGGAGGACAAAAAAGAAGAAAAGACTTATGAACAACTTGATGACTGATGTATGATGTATCAAAAGAATCCCTAAACAATCCAGTCCAGCTCATTCAAACTGGATGAACTTCATCAATGAAATGCATAGTTCACCCATACCCCAATATTTAGTATTTTGTAATTAATCACAACTAAAGGTTCTGCAAGAACATTGGTTTTGAACTGTGCCACTTCCCACCTCACCCCACCCACCCCCCACGTGCCACCGCGTGGCATGGTCAACCAGGGCCGCGGCGCCCGCGCCGGCGCCCGAGCGCCGAGCGCGGCAGCGGCGCTGCGCCCGTTGCGCGGGGAAGACCGGCGGAGGGCGGCCCAGCCGCAGGAGGCGCTACTGAGGAGCCAGGTGGGAGAACGGTAGCCTTTGCGTGAGAAAGCCATGGGGACTTGGTTGAAGGAGCACATTACAGTAAGTGTTGTGGTATGTTCTCTCTTTTTTGGTGTTTAGTCCTAGTTGTTCCTGATGTGGTTGTGGTGTTTCTTCATCTTCTTCTTCTTCTTCCTGCTACTACTACTACTACTCCTGCTGCTACTACTACTACTTTTTCTTCTTATTATTCTTTCTGTTATTATATAGCATTATGGGAAGCAGTGTACGCAATCATCTGGTCGCATTCCACCTCATAGGCCTGATTGTTTTCTTGCTAGCAAAAAAAGATGGAATCTCGCTGATGCCAGGTGTCCAAGATCCGTGGTAGCTTCTTGGAGTTATGCGTAATGATCGGGTTCCAGGAGGAGCTACTATATGCTAACACAAAAGCAATATACATGTGGCCGGCGCTCATTTGAATGAGGGAGGCCCACACCCACGAGCACACCCACGAGCTTTGGTCAATTCTCCTATGAGATGATATCGGAAGCTGATGCCAGGTGTCCGGTGGCCGGTGCGAATTAGGGAGGCCCACACCGCACGAGTTTGGGTCACAGAGTATCCCTCTTCATATCCCTCACCCAATTGGTGAAGGCATCAGCTGAGTGGGCAAACAACAAGCTGCGCAAGAGGGGCACGGAGGAGCTGCGCTTACGGGCTCAGCGCCCAACACCATTTCAGGTGCACCCACCAGGTGCACCAGTTCAACATCTGTCTCAGTGTAAGGCCAGGCTGCGGAGGGCTAAGGTGCCAAAGAGGAGACTGCAGAAGGGACTGAATCCCTGGAAGTACCTGCGCTCCGGAGTCGGTTCTGCGGCCATTCGGTTCCCTTTCAGAAGTGAAGTCAGCAGCTTGTGGGGAGAAGGTGGTGAAAAGAATGGTGGTATACCTATAGATCTTCCAACTGTGCAAATGTTCTGCCTTTTCATCTGCAACACCAGGCAAGTTCGGCAAACATTGTGCGTTGGAAGAGGTCTTGGTGTGGGTCACCCTACAAACCATGACAGGTTGACATCCCTTACAAGGAATCTGTTCACTTGACCCGGGGTCAACCAGGGTCACAGGGTTTTGACCTTGACAGGACTTGACAAGCTAGAATTGAATCTAAGGATGTGAATGTGAAGGGGAGTCGTTTGGTTCGTTGAGATCTGAAATACCTTCACTAGGGCACTAGATCCGAACATTACAGATCCACAGTTAGTGCAGCGAAAATCGATGGACCAGAGCCTGCCACCCCAAGGGCAGCGACGTTCTCCCCAGTTCTCTGGCCCAGTTCTGCCCGGTCACACGATGAACACGTCCAGCAAAGGCGGCACTTGGCCGAAGGGCGGCGGCACACGCACATGCGTGGCGAGGCTCAGGCACAGGACATAGATGCTTGGGTCAGACTCCTTGGCCGAGTGGTTCACAGACTGGAGAGAGGAGCGACTCGGGAACGAGGGACTATAGATGCCAGAATCCATGCCAAAGCATTCATGAAAGGAATCGTCGCTTGCCTTCAGTACATCTACTATTCCAGTGCCATGGATGGTCCACGGATGGTGGATGTCATACCGTCATATTGTTGTTAAACATAACTAAACAAATCAAACTCGCTGGGAAAGGACGAGTCCCATACTGTTTTGTGTTTTAGTATGTCATCCATGGACATGGATGCCTTATAGTTAAAACACAAAACAGTCCTTTCCATCAAACTCGCTGGGCTTGAAGTCTCCGTGCCAAAAAAGCCGGTGGATGCGGGAGGCCTTTCCAGTGACTGAGGGGTCTTTCCAGTGAGACTGCCAAGTGAGTCTTCCGGACAACAGGACTAGATGGAACAGCATCCCCAGGCACTTAGCTGGATTCTGGGGTCAATGTTGTGTGCAGGCATTCTGTGGTCTGGGATCTGTATGCTGTATGCCCCACAGACCGGCTAGTAAAGGAGTCCTCTCTCTCTCGAAAGAGAAAAGACTTCCTGGCGGAATCATGGGGAACAAAAGGTTAAAACGTGCTGAACATCTTTCACACATGTCTTTTGATGGTCTGGAAATTATCCAAGCCCAATCAACAAATCTGTTCCATGACCTAGAAAAGTGATTGCAAGATCTCTTTGCCGTAAACAAAGACACTCCAGTAGCCCCTCTCTTAAACCAGGCTTTGATGGGGAAGGGAGTTCCGTGTGAAGAACAATTATGAATTGTGACCAAATCATGACCAAATCCACAAGAAACATGTTTTTCATGTCCAGTTTGCACTTGCCTAGGTTATTGAATGCACAATGCCTAGGCATGTGATTGATCACCGCAAGCAGAAATCATTCAACCATTCCCATGAGCGTTTATGGCCATGTATGGCCACAAGAATCCACCGGATCCACGGATCCACAGGGCGTCCCAGGTACCTACGGACTGGACCCAATTCAGGCGCCTACATCAAAGAGTGTCCCAAACCCTAGGGATCCACACATGCCACCTTCTCGGAAGCGACTGGGACCTCCAAACTGCCCGATGTTTTGGCACCTACATAATAACAGCGTCGAACACATCACCGTACCTGAGGTTCGGTACTTGGATCCCTAGGCAGCAATATGTTCTTGGAGGATCCATACGCCAGGGATGCAGTCGTACCGAACCTCAGGTACGGTGATGTGTTCGATACGGTCATGGGAAAACCACAAGCCAACAACAGTCCCGTTCGCTCCACCCTTCGGTCCTTTGGTTGTCGGATGAAAATCCTACAGTGGCTCAGTGGGCTCAGTAAACAAAATCCCTTGTCAAACTCTTCTAAACCCAAAAGGATCTAATTTTGGACTACTTAGACTGACGAATTATAAGGGTCCACTTCCACCACCGTCCCAAACGGTCCACCGACCACTTTCCATCTCTTCACCGCCCTTGAAGTGTGGGACACTTAGACCCACAGGTGCTCCTCTCTATTCATCCTCTTGATATCTCTTGATCCATCCTCTGAACCGAGTGTCCCAAAGGAGCCCTTGAAGTCCCCACCAGCTCGCCAGCCACAACGCCCAGCGCCCCGCTCCAGCCGCCACCTCCGCCATGGACGGTGGACCCACATCCAGCAGCGGTGCCGCCCCGGCCGGCGCGGTGCCGGGCATTTGGGAAGAAACGAGGGCCACCGGTGGCAGGGACGGGGGAAGGGGCGAAAAAAAGAGGGGCGGATTGACGAACTGGATGTGTGAGTCGTGTAGTTGTTTGATTGTGCTGGTACAGTTTGTAGATGTTTCTAGTATGTTTTCGGATGTCTTCCTGCGTTTTGTGCGTGCATGCGTGCTTGAGTGTGTGTGTGTGTGTCCGCACGTGTTGTCCTTTTGTATTTCTTAATTAAGCAGGTTTTCTGATGGAAGTTGATCCAGGAGTTCGCTTTAACATAGTAGGAACCAGACTTTCTGCTAGGTTCCTGATTTGTTCAGGGCTGTCAACAGGGTTCGCTCCATGCATGATTTTTATTTGCGATGTGTTGAATTGTTGGTGCAACTTTATGTGCTGCTGCTGCGCTGTTGGCTGTTGTATTTGCTTTCTTCAAACCATCACCAATTGAACTGACACTTCCTCGCAGCAACTTCATGATGTTCATGAAATAAAACATACAATCAAATCAGTTCCACTCGGTCTGAGTATGGACAGCTCCCAATGTTTGAGAGGAAAAGCTCAATCCAAGAACCACCATGCAAGGCAAGGTAATGTGAATCGCTGGTTGAGGTTGCCCCAGCTCCCCCCCCACACACCAAACATGCTTTCTCTCTGATGTTCAGAGTTTCGTAGCTTCGAACGTGCGAGTCGCCCCCAATTAGTGCCATGTGATCATCAAGCCATTGTATATGCCAAATGGAATTTGATCCCTGATATGCATGGTACCATGTGATTTGCCATATATGTATATATATATATAATATATTGTTACACATATATATATATATAACAGCCTCATATGCGCCAAAGAAGGGCTGCACCAGAGATACTCGGATACGTAGCCAAGAGATTGGTGATCTGCCTCGATCTCGGATAACACATTGACTGACGAGACGCCACTCGCAGCAGAGTAGATTCCCCAGGTGGGGGTCCAAGGACGGGACACCGCAAAGCTGAAATATGATGGTCTTATAATGTCTTAGATATTGGGTCTTCACATGTCTTCACTAGTCACAACGGATTTTAGGTTGAATCATCTGAATGTTTACTTGTTTTTAACAATATGTTTTCCAGTTCACCCCCACGGCGGCCCGGCTTCCTTTTCGGCACGTCGCGTGCGTGGGAGTCGCATCAGAGTGTTGATTTCTGCACGATGCGGAGAGGGCGATGGAGTTGCATCAGAGTTGAGTTCTGCACTCAGAATGGACCACCCGGAAAACGTCCGGGAATCCCCACAACTTGTCCAATGGAAGGTTACTCGGATGTAGCCATATATAGCCATATGGAAGGTGCTCTGCTCAGGTGACCCCCTTGCAAATGGTCCTGATCAGTTCTTTGACTCGTTGGAATTTGGAGTCCCATAGTCTCCTCTCGCACGCACAAATAGTCTCCCTCCATGACGAAG